TTAAACGTATTCGAGTTGGTATCTTTGGGGACATTTTACGTGCTTTTGGTCACGTATAATCATGATAATCACAATGCCCTCAGATCTTGTGAAATAGAAAAACCATTCAATTCATTTTCGATTTTCAATTGAACGGTACAGGAGTGCCAACAAGCGATTTCAGTAAAGATAAAATGAAACGAAGTTGAGTACGAAATATAAAAACATAAAGTCCATTTCTGAAATTCATAGCAGATATATTATATTTTAAAGAGATTAAAGTATTAGGAACAGATTTTTTGAAAATTAAGTTTGAATTGAGTTTGAGTTTTAATATCTCCAAGAAGAAATTGATCTTTTGGGGACTTCTTCGTGTTTGTCATGCTAGTTTTAAGGCAATACTCTTGCATATATGTTGAGGAATTTGGCGTCTTAAGGTTGAAACTTTTTTGTTAAACAGAAAGACACAAATATATCTGCAATGTGACCAAGGAAAAATCTTGTGGGAAATAGAGCATAGGCCTATTAGTTTCCTGAACAATAACGAGGGAGTTAAAAACTGCATAATCGGAATACTTTGAAACTAAACAAAAGGATTATAGGAATGCAGTATCAGTTGTATAATGTTATGGTGAATATTGAGGGTACCCTTTTCCATATACCAGCATCATCGCTATAAACTGTTGACATTCTTCAACTTAAAAAATAAGATGAGTGTTTATCCCGTTCTATATCATACATTACATATTTTGTCTTCTTTTTCAATGAATCACCCAATATGCCTTAAAACGAATACAATCGTCTCAAACAAAGCGTCCGATTTTGTACTATGCGATGGATCTCGTCTTCCTGAAACGAAAAATCAATCACTGGGGAACGTTTAATAGTGTTTTTTTTCTTTGCTTTTGAGCTAAGAGAATCGGGACGCTCTGTGTATGTGGACACGAGTTATCATTATTGTGTGCTTGTTGATTCGACATGAATGCCATTTATCATCTTAATTACTCGTGCTAGCATTTAGTCGTTATTCTGCCTTACCGCGTGGCCCGTATGTCATGCAAGCGAAACGGCCCAAACGATCTGCCCTGCTATCGGTATAACTTTCACTTTTCAAGACCGAAAGTGAAATTTGGGAGTTTTGAAAGTCAATTCTAAACCAGTGTGTACATGTAAACCGCTGTTGAAATTGGGCGGGTAAACAGCTCATTTCCATATAGAACCGCCTGCTCTATTTGGATAAGAATGTTTAACAACTCGCCACTCTGTTTGCGTTGCAAATGTGGGCCGTGTGTGTAAAAAAACAGTGCAGCCTTTAAAGTTGTCTAAGATATGCAAATCGGCAAATTTATTGCTGGAATTCCTTTCTTGTTCGTCGTATTAATTAACTGGTGTCCTGCAGACTGACAAAGGCAATTTTCATCATTAAAACATCAAGAACGGATTTTTCTCTTTGTTCGGCGCCATATTTTAACTCCTCCCCGATCGATCGAGCGTAATAAACGATGGCCCAAACTTTCCCCGCTTAAATTTTTCTTAGATTCGTTATGCAAATTAGTGGACTAAATTATTGCCCTTTCCATGTTTAGACAACCGTTTAAATGACTCTGGCCACACAATGGACACGTGTTGAAAACATGTATGTGCTTGTTTTCTAGCTCCGCAACACCCCCCTTTTTATGCTGGGAACGGAAAACAAATACAAATTGTACCAAGTCAACACATCCGTGCAAATCCCGATCGTCATATGGTTTGCATTACCCACCCCTAAAACAGGTCCCGATAAAGAGGAGGAAAATATGAAATTAAACAGAATAAAATAAAAATGCCGCTACAGCCGGCAGACCCAGTTTATCAACCGGTCGATTGGAACTTTTATTTCATTTTCCTTTTTCATTTTTCCATGTTCACAGCTGTTCATATTCCGTGCATGGGCATAGATTACTACTGAAATTCGATCAATGTTTTTATTAATTGGTTGTTTAAGTTGGGAGTTTTAAGCTGAAGTTTTTTTTCCCCTGGCATGTTGAACTCCCACCACGCCACACAACTTTTTGCGAGTTTTTTTTTCAAAAGCGTTTTCCTGCAGGCAGCGTGCAATGCACTGGCAAAAAGTGCAAGTTTATCTCCGACACGCGCCGCGAGTCGCCGGTGAAGGTTGGGTCTGCTGGCGTCGATGGGGGCGCTATTGATAGCCGCGGTGTATGACTCGCTCTTCCCCCCCCCCCCCCCCCCCCCAAAAAAATGGCAAAGTCCTGGGATCTAAGACAATATCAGCACGTTTTGTTGTCGAGTCCAACACAAGTTCGCCACAACTCAACTCAGAAGACAATCACAACTCCATTTACAAGTCCAGTCACAAGCAATACTGCATGAACAGTTACAAAGAACTGCTTTTGTCGCAGGTTATTTTGATGGCTTGTGACTCGACTTGAGGCTTGTGATGGACTTTTGATTTACTTGTGATGGACTTTTGATTTGCTTGTGATTGACTTGTGATTGACTTGCGATTGATTTGCGATGAACTTGTGATTGACTTGTGATGGACTTGTGATGGACTTGTGTGAGGGGCTTGCGATGGACTTGTGATGGACTTGTGCTTTACTTGTGATTGACTTGCGATTGACTTGTGATGGACTTGTGATGGACCTGTAATGGACTTATGTGAGGGGCTTGCGATGGACTTGTGCTTTACTTGTGCTTTAGTTGTGATTGACTTGTGATGGACTTGCGATGGACTTGCGATGGACTTGTGATGGACTTGTGATGGACTTGTAATGGACTTGTGTGAGGGGCTTGCGATGGACTTGTGCTTTACTTGTGCTTTAGTTGTGATTGACTTGTGATGCACTTGCGATGGACTTGCGATGGACTCGTGATGGACTTGTGATAAACTTGTGAGGGGCTTGCGATGGACTTGTGATGAACTTGCAATCGATTCAATAATCAGTTCTCCATATGCAGATAGAACTGAGAAACCCTGATAACCAACAGAGAAAGCACGCAGATTAACCAGAAATTTTGAAACACAGATGCTAAAATATAAAAGAAAAAATAGATACCTGATTGAAACTGAATGAAAAAAGAAGATATTTTTAGCCCCTGCTCGAACCGGACACTTCATTTCCAATTATGCAAATGACTCCTCACTTCTCTCCCTCTTCGTCAACGGTAAGACCAGGCGCCTTTCCCTCCCGACCACTTATCTGATAAAACAAGCGGAAAATTGATGTCATTTGCTCGCTGTTTTGTAGCCATAATCGCGCGTCTTAAAAGCTGGCCATGGGCGTGCATAATATGGCAGGGGGCAATTTGCAGCATCTCTTGGGATACCGAGGGGTTTTCATCCAAGGGAGTGATTAAGAGAAAATAGACCGCGGGATCGAGGTTCACAGACCGGCCAGTCGATCTGATTGTCTCGTGATATGCCGCCTAATATAAATACTTCTCAATCCGTAACACTGCTTTTCCGTTTTTAACATCCTTTCATTTAAGGTGCCCTGCCTGTTAATGTTAAACCCTTTCCCTAGAAGGCATCCACTAACCTCCTTAAGAATATCACCTTCGCCCCTGCTAGACAAATGACAGGATGATTTTGTATTAACTTGCCTTCGCACAAAAGACACTTCACCCTTACACACTGGGTTTGACGCTCCCAACAAATAGACCATCTGTAAACGCGGTAACCCCTCTCAGACCCCACATCAAGCCTCTCACCATATAGACAAATTACTTGATGATAGTCTGCTCTCAGTTTTTTTGAAAACTGGGAAATCGATCCTTCTCTCATCTTTATATAAAAGCAGGGGTGAATGTGATGTTAAGTTTCCCCAACGCCTGTTTAACAGTCGGCATCTTAAGAGCAACTCATTCGGTGACGGCGCTCTGCCACCGCGGGCCGGTTGGCTCCTGGTCGCGTGTCTCCAAGTGCCTGCCGTGGAACGCTCCACCGTTAAACAGTCACGACTATCGCAATCTCGGACGAAAACAAAAGAAAGAAGACATCTCGGCTCGATCAAACCCATAATCTTCATTGCAATAATTACTCGCTACGGTACTCTTCATCATCTTGCGGCAGTACAAAAAGTGTCCACGCTGCCTGTCTGGATGATACTACAGAAAAAACTGATTAAAAAGTCTTTCAAGTAATGACTGCTTGTCGGAGTAGATTAGTCTGGGCAATCTCCCTAATTTCGGTTGTTTGGGGGCCGGGGTCGGCTGTGAATCGGGGAGTACTTTTTGCAGTTGCCCCTCTTGGATGAGAGGCCCTCTCTACGTTGTCGCTTCCAATCACTGCCACAGACTTCAGACTGGGCGACTTGTTGTCCCCGAGACCTAGACTTGTTGTCTCTACGAGGGGAAGAGGGGAGAGAAAGTACCAACAAATAATTAACCAACAAAAATATCAATCTCGGTGGTGTTTTGAGAGAGGAGAGGAAAGGAGAGGTGTACTTTTGTTCTCATTGCCCAGTTTGTAATTTACACTCTAGCTAGGCTGATCATGTAGCGATTATACACGGGTCTCTCAAGTGCGTGAACATGGGGTTGGGGAAGGGGAAAACATGGGCACTTGCTAGAAATGGCGCCCAGCCTGTCGACATTATTGAGCCTTTTTTTCTGTGGATGGGTTTTTTTCATCATTGAGGTTTATGACGATGACATGATATCACTAGCCGGATATGAGACTCGCGAGTGATATTTTCCGTAGGAAATCAAATATCGGTGATTAAAAACAGAGCTCATTAATCCCAAACTGTCAAATTAACACTTCATGTGCAGTGCTTGGGAGTATCTTTTTGTAGGTTATTAATTTCTGTCTTTTTTTATTGCATCTTTTTTATGGGTGTTACAGACTACCTTAATTTTCATTACGTCTTACTAAATCCTATCATAAACTTCAAGTAACCTTTATCAAAGGTCATGTTTAACATATTTTACATATTTCTGAATCAGCCAATAATCGTTGAGGTAAGATAACCCCTTTTGCCAGGTTGTGAATATTCTGATTTCTTATTGGTCACCAGGGTGGGCAGGAGGGCAGCGATTGGCTAGCATGCAACAACGTCACGACGCGGACGGCAGGTGCCTCGTTTCAGGTCTGGTTTCACTTTTTTGTTTGTTTATTTTTTCCTTTTACTTTCACTTTCTTGCGAATTTAGCAAAATCTTAACAATAACAAGGGCATTTCTTGCATAAATACTACTAGTGTTGGCTAGAAGAACAAAGAAAAGAAATCGTGTACAACGTTTATGGGATTTTGGCTAGAAGAAGAAAAAGAAGAAAAACAAACTAATCAGAACAAAAACAATGCTTTACCAGATCTTGTCATGAACAACTTAAAACAAAACATGTACCTCTATGACCCGCAATAGCAGTGTGATATATAAAACAATCCCTTAAGCTTGATCTTTCGCCCGATGCCTCGGTAGCCAGGTCCTCAAGACGTGAAGGAGGGTGGTTGGCCGGTGAAATTGATGAGATCTTTCGGGGGGCCGATCGTGAAAAAAAAAGACGCACTCGTGGTTGCGAGCTAGCTGCGGAATTCAGCCACAGATTAGCGAGTTGAGCAATTGCTACCGGCATACGGAGGGGGATGGCGGCGCGGATACAACAGATTTGGTTCGAAATTGAGTGGCAGAATGTCTTTTTTTTTTGTCTTTTACACTCTCCACTCTGTCTTTCTCTCTCTCTCGTCCTCTCCTCAAGAAAGTGAGAGAAGTGTTTTCGGGGGACTTTGGCACTGAATAATATCACTTGCGTATCAAGAGGTGGTAAATTTGCTGCGAAGAAGATGATATCCCGACGGACACGTTGCAGAGTCGTGGCGATTTACCCATCCATTTATTCCACAACATTTATAATTTCTGGACAGGAATGAAAAATACAGAATATTTTGAAAACAAGGTGAAGATGGGTCCATTTTAAAATACGAACACAACTGAATCGTGCACATGAGAATGTTTTGAGCCCTCCCTTGCATAAGCCACACATCATATTTTAGACGGAAACCAAAATGTAGTATACATTGATTGTACTGCAGCCATGTTTGAGGTGTGTGCTTTTGTCCAACAGGGATACGCATGAGTATAGGCCTCCCGTGCAGTCATTGTTAATGAATGAACATAACAAAACACACCCCAAAGATGGCTGTCGAACGCAATCCATCTATAGGCCAACTTTGGAGTCTGGTTGGACAGCCTCTTTATAGCTTCTTTATAGACCATTATCATGTTGCGGCCATCCTGATTTTTCCCCATTCAAATCAACGTAACCAAAGCGAGGCTGGAAGGAAATATAGTCTGGTTCCTTTTTGCACAAAAACCTTATCATGCAGTACTGTTATTTTGATACAGGGAACATGACTGAAATGGTGGCAGCGTGATAAAGGTCTATAGCATCTTTTGTTCGAACCTTGACCAGTTTCCGGACACGTTGGGACATCACCATGTGCGAGTTAATTTTTTAACTGCCCCATCAGCATAATTTGTTAAATGGCCCCGCGGTTCAATGTGCTGGTGTGAATAAATGCCTGGCTGTAAATTGATTTTCGATTTGTCACAAAGCAGCCGTCGAACGCCTGGCGACAAGTATTTTCCATTCATTGGAATCGGCCGGTCGGTCAGTCCATGTTTAATAATTATTAGATTATGGGTCCGACATATGGAACAAAGACATTGACTGGAGCGGGGTTTGAACCTGCGAGTTCCAGAATACCCTTCCGTTGCTCTACCAACTGAGCTAATGTTGGCGGTTCTCCAGGGGTTTTTTTCAAGGGACGCTAGTCAGACGCCATAAACCCGTGTAATACCATGTAGCCATGGAACATGCTCAAAGTCACGATGCTAGCAACATTAGCAGTGTTGCAGATCTGGTAAATGACATTTTAAAGTCGAAAAGCTCTTGCTTGACTTTCACTTTTCATGTTTCGCTAAGTGGAACAAAATGGCTCACCAGCTGTATCACTGACTTCGCTTGTGGGCCATAAACACCCTAAAAGCCCGCTGAAGTACCGTTAGCTCAAACAAGCAAACAGGTTTTTTATGGTGTGGTTGCAAATTTGTCCAGCATTCCCCAGAAGCGAGTGTAGATTGAGCTGGTTTTTGCCGTCAGACATCCAAAAACACTCTTGCCTACACCCAGCCATTTGTTTAACAGCAGACTTGTCGGGCCCGCCTAATCGTATTCCCGATTCCCCTAAGAGCCAGCCACTCCAGATTATGTAGACCACAGAGCCACCTTACCCATTACCTACCCCATATGTAGGCCACGGAATAATTACCCAGCCAGAAAAAAATGATGGAGAGTTATAGACAGATAGCACATTATTCGCCGGATGGCCGTTATTATACCGTTCTTTCCTAATTCCGAAGGCACGACCATCAGAAACATTATCGCCGGGCGTCGTAACCAGGGAACCCATGAAAGGCACCTCACAGCTCACCCCAAAAGCCCAGCCGGGCCGAATTGGAATGTCATATTTCGTGTAATAGGGAGTTGTTCCGCTTTATATTTATGTGCTTTGATGACACATTATAATCGAGGCTTTATATTTACTGGACCAGGCAGAGAGGAAAGGGGGAATCGTGGCTTGCTTGGCAGGCCAGGAATTGTCACTTTGGAAATCGGTTGTCCAAAAAAGGACGACCTGAGTAAATGAGGAACGTCTGTCCTGTCCCGCGCTAGGGACGGGAAAGGAGATGTGTGGTCTACCCATTAGAAATAATTAGTGATAATGGCCCGTTGGCTATGGCAGCGTGTTACGTATTAAATGGAACAACTTGTTACACTGACCCAGAAAAAAGAGACAAGCTAGGATACTCTTTGAATCCTCGGACTGTCAATATTCAACTACAGTCAGTGTGGCTAGCTCTGCGGCACGTTATGTCCATTTTTCATGGAGAAAATTGAAAAAAAGACAAGAAAACAACAATTTTGAATCTGGAGATACTGAGTCTTCAGTCACACAAAAGGACAAGTATCAACTGACGTCTTTATATATAGTTGAGGATCATTATTGAAAATCATAATCCACAGAATTTTGAAGTCATTTCAGTTGAAATAAATTCAGGGAACCAGAAATGAACACTATTTGAGCTTAGTTTTGAATAATAAATGTAAATGTTTTTAAAGCTAAATCTATCAACTCATCGTTTTGATTTGTTAATTTATTAATTTATTTTAATTAAATTTTTGCTTTGAATCAGTCAGTCCGTCCTTTTGTCAGGCTTTTGTCATAAGCTTCTATATATGTGCTTCTCATGATCTTCACAGATTATTGAATTGATATACCTGATTATTATATTTTGGCATATTTTCTTGCATATAGTCTTGGTATCGAGGTTGTAGCGCTGAGGAAAATAATACTTTTGGCATTTCAAAAATTCTGAAATCGTCAAGCGGGAAAGTTTTCATGTTTTCACTTTTCTTGAAGGACGGGGAGGGGTTGCGAAACGATGTTAATTGTAAAACGTTCTTTTTTAAGCCTTAAAAACTAAAATGTCTGGTTACATCTTACTTGATGATCAAATACTGCCAGACTTCGTCATCGAATTGTTGGCCATATCTTGCCCAACTATACCTTTGACCTGATTAGGGAGTTTGTCCCCTTTTTTTTCAGAGCAGAGAACCATTTTAAAATGATCCAAAAACCATGACACGGGTTGTCAGTTTTTGTATGTCAACACTCGCGTCCCCAAACGAAGATCGATGTCGCCGCGACTCACCCAGCAAACACGGCAGTTCCATTCCATCACGTAATCCAAGAAGCGATTTGCCAAAAAACAAAAAAGTCGGCTGACTTCCGGCGACACGAGACCGGTCTCCCGTCCGCCAGACACACACACAAGTCATGGACCCAGCGTCCGGGGGCCGGGACGCGGGGCCCGTGACTCGGCGGACGGGAAGCTCCACGCTCCGTGATCGCTAGCTGGTGGCTTGACGGCATTGTTCCGCACTGTCTCGCCCCGCAATTAATCACCAGCACTTCCCTCACGTTTCTCTTCCACTCTCTTCCTAGCCTCTTCTTCGTCGTGATCTAGATTCCATCTCCTTCCATCCTCCACATCTCAGACCCACCCCCAACCCCCCCCCCCCCCTACCCATCTGGTGTCACCCGGTCTAAATTGGGGGTGCATGCTTACGCATCCAATTAGAACCAAACCGATCCAGTTTTACTCATTTTCGTTTTTACTCGTCAGCACACGGGTGCATTAAAACGTCTGCTTGACCGGATTTAGCTGGAGTGAGTACCGAGTCAAGGCGCTATCGTGACAACTGTTTAGTCTGTTAATTGGTCGCACTATCTCGTTATTTATGGGTTCGCTACATTGTCAGGTTCTGCGTTTCTGAGGTGGCTAGAACACTTGCGAATTTTAATTGGTTTCGGTCACAAAGGTGGGAGGATTATTTCTTGCCAATTATACGAAATACACTTTTAATTGCTAATGCAAAAAAATAAGAACTTTTAGGGTTCATCTGCGCAATTTACAACCATGTTTCCAAGAATGGCACCATCAACGCGTTCAGTCCCGAAAATTTGAACAAGAGAAAAATGCAATTTCTAACTTTTTTTCCTCAAATTCGAGAAAGCGAATGCAGAATTCTAGGAGCTTTCTGTTGTAAATTCCGATTAAATGGTGAAAGGGAAATCTCTTAAAGTCAGCAAAACAGTGTCATTATTGTGAACTAGAATTCGCGGTGGCTGTTTCCTTGAAGAACTTACATTTTCGTAATCATCCAACAGCCACTGTTTCCTGCATCTGACCATGACCCTGCAAAGATAGATTAAAACTACTTTTTCCTACTTCAATTCCAAAGTCCCAAGAATTAGACGTTGTTCTCTCCACCCTTCAAGTTTTTTCTTTTTCTTCCCCGAAAAGCGAAGGCATGAACATCCACCCGAAGACGGTAAACAAAAACTGAAATGACGATGAGGCAATATTAAAAATAAATCACCGATTTTAGCATATATTAATTTCCCGAAAACATGGGGGAGATCTTTGTACTTGTGAGGCTGTGTGTCGGCGGAATAAGGACATTAATTATACTTTAAAAGATTGGAACCAAAAAAACCTTGGTCATTTATCAAGGCCGGCGGTGACATATCCCGGCAGTAGGGGCTTCGTAATGGCCCAGAAATCTCGGCGTATGCATGTCATGCATGTATACCCTGCTAGTCTGAGCAGTGTGCTAGCAAGGCGACCGGTCCCATCCAGGCCGGGGCTGGGTTAGTGTTTAGATGGGGAGGGTTGGTGGTTGCATATCGGTAAAAAGAGAAGGACCCGTTAAGATAACATAAGGTGCTCACTTCGACGGTAAATGTAGCGAATCGCGGAGTCCGGGGAGAGGTGGGAGGAAGACAGAACACCCCCAGCGGTCGGTACGGGCTTGTTGGCTGGTTAAACAAGCATCGCAGACCGGTGCTTTCATGGTACACGGACCTGAATTGAATTTAAGAATGATTGAACGATGCCGGTACAGTTATAGGAAAAAGAAGAGAGAGTGATACGGATACAGTCAGGGAAGACAAAAAAAATATCCCGGTTTACGGGGAACGCAGGCCGCGCACGCCGTTTGCAGCGCCGAGCGCGAGCCCGTGAGTTATGCCGGTCGGGAGGGGAAAATCATGATGAATCCGTTGCCATCACGCAGAGGAAATATTGTGATGTTCCTGACTTGTTTATTTTTGGGCAAGGCTAAGATTGATGGGACTACGGTCCCGAGGTCTTCAGTCATCCACGGCACGGGGAACGAAACGAACGAGCCAAGGCCAAAACACGCAACCACGAGCTGCCGTCGTGTAGTGGCATACAACTCAAAAATTAAAATGATCGATTTGCCAAATTTGTCTGAAACCGAAGACGTTCATAGCAGAGGAAAGGACTGTTAAAGTATTTCAATTATGGTGGTCTATATAGACCATTACATGAAGCAAAGAATTGGAAAAATTATGTAGTTAAATACTAAATTGATGGAATATAGTAGCTCATTGATAATGGCATATGGGAAAATTCTGTTCCAAACCAAAATATTAGCCATTTTTTTGTAGAAGAATTCTCAACCTATTTTTTGGTCTACTATTTGTAGCTTTTATCCCAATTTTGGAACGTATTTGTTCTTTGTGTTCTTTGTTTTTATTACCATCATTAAACAAGTGATTTTCTTTCAGAGGGGAGCGGAAATGGCAAACTTTTACCTCATATTAAATTTCGAGAAACAAAACTGGGGCCTTTGGTATACGGTCCCCAAATTGCTACGTGTGAGCTTATTGCCAAAGTTTTCAGCGAATCCGATTCAAGAGAAACGACTCTCAGAAATGAACATGATTTGACGGTTTCTCATTTCCCGGATCTTTGTATTGACATTTTAACATAAAAACCCAAATGAAAGAGTTAAATCTTCATGTTGTATTTCTTCATGTAACGAGTTTGTAACTCTCCTTTCTGTTTCCCCGCAGGTGCCTCCTTTGTAGACTTTGACGAGAACAAGCGCACGCGGACGGCTTACACCCGGGGCCAGCTCCTAGAACTGGAGAAGGAGTTCCACTTCAATAAGTACATCTCCCGGCCTCGTCGGATCGAGCTGGCCGCCATGCTGAACCTGACCGAGCGACACATCAAGATCTGGTTCCAGAACCGCCGCATGAAATGGAAGAAAGAGGAGGCCAAGCGGCGGCCCAGCGGCGGCAAATCCGACAAGGAGGAAAGCGAGGACCTCAAGCCCGACCTCAAGTCAAACGGGGACTCGTCCTCGGACAAAGAGGAACTCTCGTCGGAGAAGAGCCCTCTGTCGCCCGGCAGCGACCAGGCACTGCAGGGGGTCAAGGGGGTGGACGCCTTCTCGCCCTCTACGTCACCGCGGAGTCTGAGCATGACGGCTGCGCACCCAGCAGAACATCTCATCGTCAAGTCTTTCTGACAATGAAAGAGGACTCCTTTTAAAAATACGAAAATTTGACAAGAATGTGGAAACATTTTGCGGGACTGGAGCTGCTGCATTCGCAATATGAACTGCCCCCTTCCGTCCAAAACCAAGCACATGTACGTGTGCAATGTGCACGCAGCCGACCCAGTGACGATTGTGAGTGAACATAAGAAAAGCGCGGGAAAATCAGAAGCAGACAAAAAAGTGTAGCATCTCGCCGCAAATCGGAGTCGCACTGGAATGGCTGTGGCTATGAGCGTATACACCTTGTGTACTTGTACGAGATGTTGATGCGAGATTTGCAATGGTTACCGTCTATCCATAGCCGTAACAGCACAAAGTGGCAGCCAGATTTGCTGATAGTTGCTGGGACTGTAGGGTGTTATCGTGATTCATTCAAATTCTACGCAAACTGTCTCCACTTGATGATGTCATCAACTAAAATTGAATCTTGAACCACCAACTAAAACCCGCCGACACTCGATACTCCCCACCCTTCGTGTATAAATCCATCCAGATGTTTTGAGTGTTTAGTGTCTTTTATAACATTACGAAGTATGATATAACACCATGTACAGCGCTCGGTTGTATTAAGGCATGTGATGCCGATTCTAAGCCAAGCATACACACTATGGCTGCATAAAGCAAACCTTATTATTAAAGTGCTTGACCTTTAAGCTGATTACGATCTGCCAAACGAATCACAGAGAAAGTAGTTTCAAGTTTCCACCCAGATAATTCAACCCCTTTGCCATTCTTCAACGACTGTATCTTGTACTTAACATTTTCCTCTCCTCTTTTCTCAAAAACAAATTAATATACTTTCCCTGTACACGTTCCACATACCTTCCCATAACTTCAACCTCGTCAGCCTTAATTAAAATCCACCCCCCCCCTGTCACTTCACCCGTTCCACACCCCTTTTTTGAACCTCATGCAAAATGGCCCACCCGTGGTTGTAGCCATCTGACCCTACCATCGAGATTTCCTGTGTTATAATGCCGACATCATGTGTTCATAATGATCAACGAAGACATTTCCTATTGTGGTGAAGGGGGGGGGGGCCAAGAAGTGGAGGGGGGGGGGTAAACAGGCATTTGCTGTGTTTTTCTACAAGATTTTCCTTTTGGGGGGGGGGGAGTGGCCCAAGAAGGGGTTCGGACCCCCAAATTTTCCCGTAGATCCGCACACACACTGCAGTTTTCCTTTACGTCATTCACAAATCTTGCAAGTAACCTGCCCTCGCTCTGCGCACCCAATCGCCATTTTGGAATTCAAAACGAGGCTGCCTTGCAGTATGCGAAGCATAGACACTTCCACATTGACCATGTACGTTGCTCAGCTGTTGCATGATAATCCATTCAAGTTGCCATGACTTTCATCCCAACAGTTCAAGGGCTGTTAACTGTGTCTGTGAATTCACCTACGGAATCCCTCAATGACCACCTCTCATAAAAACAAATCATGCATATTCCGACTTTCAGCTCTGAAACGTCCTCTGTGTTCATTCACCTACGTACAGCTCTAACTATATATACAGTATTATGTGTTGCTCGGATTTCTTCATTTTCCTAAAGCGTTGATTTGAAAATGTGTCGAAATCGCTGTTCTTTTTCATTTTTCGTTTTGTTTAGAACATTATTAGCACAACTTTACTCAGACGTGTCGACGATAAGCGTTACCGAACAGCATTAATCATTAAATAAGGAGTACATTTAATGTCAGTACTTAAGACGGAAACTAATTGTTAATATTCCAAGCAGTTTATGAATAATTGTTCTTTAATAAGGAAAATGGACATGGACTCGTGTAGTATCAACAGTAATTATACATGTAACCAATTCCTAATTTCCCGATGGACGGTGAGAACATAAACCGAAACACGCCTGGTTCTTTTTAGTAACACCTCTCTTTTATTCTCTTCACACGGCGTGTCTGCAACTTCTCGCAAGCAGTTCTCGCCACCATGCAGAGCCTCAAATTTCATCTCAGTTTCGTATTGTTAAAACGAAAAACTTGATTCGTCGGGGGCCCAGTCACTCGTAGAAATGTCAATGATTTTATTTTCGGTGTGAAAATTAATTTGTGGGACCCCTTAATTACTATTGTGACTCAGAGCTTTTGTGGATACTCGTACCGACACTGTGTTTGGTAAGCTGGGCAAAATTTCTTGAGTAAGGAAGGAGACTCTTACATCACTCAAAACTTTGCGTAGATAAAATGTTAGACTTTGAAGTTCAGGGAAATGTAACATTTGAAAGGGGAAAATGAATAGAATTACACAATGTACATGAATATCGAACATAAATCAGTCAAAACATTCACCTATCTCCTGAAAATTGAAAATTGAAAAATACTTATCTTTGTGGCAATCTTACTAAACTGATTTGTACTTATACTGTGCAACATACAATCTCCGTTGTGTTATCGTCTTCTATATACGTGCCAAAAAGTTCTCATTTTTTACGTAGCAAATCAACTATCAGTATGTTATTGTTTGTTCTTTTTTTTTTTAAATACAATCTTCGGTTTTGAAGTTTATGAAGTTTTGTATATGGACTGGTCCGATTGGACTATTTTTAGCCCATGACGTCATTGCATATATACAAGGCAAACATCACCGAGTCAGCATTATTGTAGTGACAAAGTCGTATTTGTATTATATCTGTTATTTTTGGTATTACGTCACAATTGGGGTTTAACTTAAGTATATACTTTTATGTGTCTCACGCTTCTGTACATAGAACGAATATACATCTAAATTCCACTCCATTTTTTTTTACCACTGGACTTTTTTTTTAAACAAGATGCGAGTCTTTGCTCGTAACTTTTTCCTGTACAAACTTGAATCAGAATTTACCAAAGATTAAAATATGTAAAAATAAAACATGGAATCTCGTGTAAGTTAGTTCTCGTTGGTCTTTTGAGCGGACCTGTCTATTCCGGCCATTCTTTGCTTTGTCTCTTATGTTGTGTTAATAAATACCTGTTCATTGCGGCCTTGAGATGTTGCCGCTTGGTATCCATCGTCAAGACTATTATATCGCACTGATCAATTATAAAACAGGCATAATTACACCTTCATTTCCATTGATCAATTTACTTAAAATATATCTTTATTTGAATTTGCTTAATTCAAACAGAAAATCTAATCCCTTTAATAAGGAATCACAATTTATTTTTCTAATAAAAAATTGATAAAAAGAGATTCTTAATATGAAACGAATGATTTCCAAATTGCATGAATCATAGTGATCAAACAGTAACGAACTCAGTATCGGGGGGGGGGGCAGTTTGGTTATTGTTTAAATAATGTGAATGTTTTCGTCTCTTTTGTGCCTGCATTTTCTTCTTTTTACAAATTCTCGACATTTCTTAAATTAAACATTTCCAAAATACCGGCAAGTTCTGTGAAATCATATTGAAATAACCTGCAAAGCACAAACACAACCGTTTGTCAGTGATAATTCAGTCGAGAAATAATCGTACTCTGAAACACTTATTGATGGGATCAATTGATATTGATAATTAACCTGACATCTTCGCAGTTTCGCAGCCTATACTTTGGTGCAACAGGGGCGGATCCAGGTTTGAATCAAGAGGAGGGGGTGGGTAGCTGCCAACGGAGCGGGGTTTAGCGGGCATTTGGTACCTTTTTTGCATGATTTTCCCAATTATTTTGCAGCCCAAGAGGGGGTTAAATAACCACCCCTCCCCCGTAGATCTACCACTGTCCTACCATTTTGACTGTGAAATGGAGTTCTATTATCTGAATTATAAACAATTTCTTTTTGACCATAAAGTACCAATGGCCAGCTTCAGACCCCCCTCCCAAGTAGTACTTCATGAGTTAGTGTGGTTTCGTTTGTGTAATCCGTCCATCTACTCGTTGGTTGGATTTAGTCTCACGGTGGCGCTGTTTAAAAAAAATCAGCCGAATTCTCACAACGATTGTACACGGGCAGTCTTTTTTTCTCTCTCTCAGACTTGTGTAAACAGAAATGATCTCTCTGTGTGTATGACTATTGTACATAATAAATAAAGATGTCAGAATGTGTATTCATTGTGTACTTGTCTGATTACTTGAAGTGCATTTCTCCGTCACTGTACTTTATCATCCCGCTTTTGGGGATATAATGGGCATAATCCTTCATTAAGACCAAGAATTAACAGCTTGTTAATGCGTCTGGGTATACAATTATCTGAATGAGACCTGGATCTGGGTACACTTAACCAGGGATGGAAGCTATCCAACCCTTCCAAGTTAATTCTCATCTAGACGGAGTATAGACACCGCATTGGCAGTGTTTAATTTCCGATGTGAGATGTATCACAGCGTCGTTTGGGATGGAGTGGCCCAAATTAATTGGCAGAGCTTACGATCTGGCACTCCCCCCTGGCAAAAGCACGCTGGGTGACACGTACCCGCACTCCAGGCACAGACGAAGCACACTCAAGATCGCACAACTCATGTGAAGAAAAAATAAATCATTTTTTTCGGAGTTGAACCAAAATTGTGTCTACCCATGCTCACTTCCACTCAACAGGCATGAGATCTTAGTCTGAAATCAGACATTTTAGATCCGGAGACTTTTGTGTAAATTACAAAGGATGCCATTATGGGCATAAGAAGCACAAAAACATTTCACCGTGTCTGATTCTTAGATTTGTTTGCTGGCACCAGAGGGCCAGCCTAGAGTCATCTTTGTATCTGATTGACTGACTAAATACCACTTGTATCATATCGCCGGGCAGTGCTATCGCATAGGATTACCCGCGTAACACCAATGAATGGGCTAAATCCGGCCAATTGCATGTGTAGACCAGATGCATGACAAGACTTACAGTGAATATCCACTCTGAAAATTGTTTTGTTTTGCGCTTTTGGCCCAGCTTTACTAGCTTTTAGTATTGTTTTGATCAAACTGACAATCACATCCCTATATGTCTCATGTGTTATTTTGGGTGGGATCGGGTGATTTTGACAATCGGAGCTTCTCTTCCAGTTTGTTCGAAACCAATGTTTATAATTTCTCGCAGTCGTTTTCTTTTAGGGTGCCCTCGTGTTGCCTTACCGTGTCGCTGCGGTAACCCACCGTATTGTCACTGAAGACATGTACCTTAGGTTGCC